AACTTAACTTAATTATTATTATAGTAAGTTAGTGTATGACTATTGTTATTTAATTATATATACTCACAACGTACCAAAAAAACTTAAATAATATATATATATATATATATATATATATACTCTAACAATAGTATGTTAATCTGATGTTCAGATTATATTAATCTTGATCTAGAATGATTTTGTCTTCTAAAAAATTATGCCCAAATTTTGTGAACACACTCTCATCATCCCAATAATCAAAAGCATTTTCTACTTGAACCGGTGGAAGGCGATTTGAAGGATCTGGATGTCAGATGTCCATGAAATCTTTTTGCCTTACAAATTCTCTGTTTTGATTATATTTGAAGCAAATTATTTCAACCCAGCATATCCTTTGATACCCATTATCACTTTAGGAAGATTTCATGGATGAGATAGACATGATGGATCACATTCTCAAGAACTTAAGTAAGTTCGGTTCTTCAATTGATTTGTTCAAGTTGATATCAAGAAAGCGATTGCTCAAGTTGAAAAATCAAGCATAATCAATTGCATGGTTTCATCGAGTGTTTGAAAACCAAATTGTTAAAGTGGAATTCATGTTGGATTGTTGGATTAGCAATCTGGATTGGGCCTGGATCGGTCTGTATCAGTGATCCAAAAAAATTAAAAATAAATAAAATAAAAATTAAACTACAGATTTATGGGATGGGTATTTAAGGAGACTGAATAAAATGTTAGATAAGTTTTTTAAAAAAAAAACTATAAAAATAAAAATTTTATAAGAAAACCGGGCCAAGACCTAAACCATCCTAGATTTGGTTCAATCCCCACCAATTACCATTCAGATCGGAAATCATCAGCATCATCAAAGCATTTTCCCAACTAATTGGGGTCGGCTATGCCATTTTACTCTGTTATGGGCTTTGCTCTATTATGGGTCATACCCTCAATGGCGCCATAAGTCCTCGTATCTTTTCTTACTACTTCTAACCATGTCCTTTTAAGCTTACCTTTTACCCTTTTTGAGCCTTACCCGTAAACTAAATCATACCTCTTAACAAGTGCTGTATTGGATCTTTGGACACTTAAATATACTTTATCTCATCTTATCGCCTATTGATGCCGCACCTAAACTCTCCCGAATGCATTCATTTCGAAAACTATCCCTTCTTGTATTGTCATTCATCTATCTTGTCTTACCACTCATTTGACAGACAGAAAATCACAAAGTTTTAAAACACTAATTACATCTTTTTTTACTTCTCACCAGTTGTCTTCTCTATTGATACCTAAAGCAAATAATTTAAAGCATGGTGTTGTCTAGCTCCCTCTTTCACCTCAAAAGACATAGTTTTAAATATTATATCGATAAGCATTTCACAGAGCTTTGTATATTTAACATGAATATTATCATTTTGAGAGGTAGTATGAATTGTTTGCCCTAAAATTATTCTATACATGGATAGAATTATTTGCATGATAGGGCTTTGGAATTTTCGCATTGTGGCCGTATTGTGGATGCATTATTTTCCTCGCCTATTAAAAGCAAATTGGAATGATAGATAGGTTTTGAATTTGATAGAATCTTTTGAGAGGTGAATGCTAATATAAACAAATAGGAGTTGCATGTAAAAGTAGACCCATCTAAGAGAAAACCAACACACATACACATGAGAGAGTGCATGTCTATTATTACTTAATTGAGCCAAGAAATTTTTATCCAACCTACCTGTTGTATGGTCAATGTTATTGATGGGTTATAATTTTGATCTCTAATTAATGAAGGATACGGTCTGTATGAGTCGACCGATTCACCTATTTAAACGAGTCATTGCTCCAAAATTTATTTTAGAGATGGCATTTGGATTTAGAATTTTTGGGAATGCATATATCAACCATGCTAAGTAGGAACCTTAAAAAAATTATACATTTTTGAAAAAAACAAAGTTTTGACACCATCGATTTTAAACTTTAGTGGAGCTACTATTTTTTAACATCCATCTCCAAGATGGATGATACATGCCTCAGGGAACACTATCGTAGAAGTGCGTCCCTTGATGCACAAACTACTTTTCCGTCTATGAATTATATAATGTCTGGTTAAAATATATTATATAAGCTCTTGAGATCCCGATTTCCAAAGAAAATAAATTTGAAATCACCAAAAAATTTAGAGAGATTCCAAACAAGGGTTTCTAACTTTCGGAGATTCTATATTTCAGGACTCCCAATTGCAACGGATGTTATCAAAGCCCACTTAATATGCTTTGGGTCTTACATAAATGTCACATTCCAAGTATAACTTGCTAATGATGACTACAACTTACTAGTTCAAGAAAAAGAAGGCAAAAAAGAGAACTGCATTTCATACTCCACATAAAATTGTTTCATTTCAATAATTTTCATGAGTTGCATTACAGAAGTTCCTGTGTTAAGGGTAAGGATACCAAATCAACATTATCAGCTTTTTTCTTTTGATGGGCAAAAATGGACATGAAGTAGAAAAACACCAGCTGGGTACAAATACCAATCCTTGGAAATAAAGCCCTAAATAAATTGACAGGAAATGATCATAATGTGGGAGTTCCCGCCCCAACCATTAGATTAGATAATGGGTGATGAGAAGGCGGTTGCTAATACTGTGTTATTGGGTAATGGAGTAACTGCCATTTCAACTGTCGTATATCTTATCCAACAGTTGGGGGAGAGAACTCCAATGTGACTGAAAATGAGAGACCTCTTAACCTGATCATTGCCCGAGTAATACATACAACTGAGTTGGTCCCCTTATTCAACAAAATGTTGAATAGCATTATATGCAGTAGGGCAATTTGCATATGTAGTATGTCCTTTGACTCAGAGAGAGAGAGACTTAGAGACTCACGAGTCCCACAGCTCATGCAGCTCCTCATGCATCATACCATCTTGGCATTTCACTAGGACTATGAACTGGCGCCTCAGGTGCATTACCTTCCAAAACCAACATCACAATAGTTTCAAAATTTTAAGCAGTGCATTGCCTGGACAAGACAGAGAAAAAGAAGGATTTCCATGGCTGATATGCTACTCACAATTTCGACTATAACCATGTCACCACTGAATGAAATTCATTGCCCATAAAACATATGAAACAATAAAGGAAACAGCATACGCTTACCTCTACTTGTAGCAAACCAGGGAGATTGTCAGGTGATAAGAGGCCATGCAATTCTTCAAGCAATTCCTTATCTCTCAAACCCGACCAAATTTGGGGAGGCAAAGCCAGCAAAAGAACAGTGAGAACATCACTGGTTGAAGGGTGAAATTCTACACAACCACCTGAACAATCAAACCTTTCTCTGCATGTAGGAACCAGCATTTCTACGTTTTGCTCTCCACCCCACCACTCCACTCTTCCGCATACAAGAGTAATTGGTTTACCACTAGCTTCCAAGCTTTTTATGGTTGTATCTCTGCAACATGTTCCTTTAGGTAAGCCAATGGTACTAGTAAGAACACCTGCCCCTTGGCAACATATGTTGGCAGCAATCTCAGAAATGTTTTTGCCCTCTCTCATCCATGGGTGGCATAAGCTTGCAGAGGACAACCATTCTCTCACATATTCAAATAGCTTGGTATCGTGAGCTTGTTGCAACACTTCTTCCTGAAACACAGGTTTCGGTCAAGTCATATTTTAGAATTCCACTCTTCAAACTCAGTTCTATAGAACATTTGTGCAGAAACATTGAAAAGGAAAGTAGAGGTCGAAGTTGTTAATGGAAACCTCAAGGTTGGACCAAGGAATTCATAGAAATAGCTAAAAACAAATGTGAATAGCTAAAAACAAATACGAAGGACTACCTAATGTGCTCTCTCTCTCTCCTGTGTACACACACACAAAACACACACATAGCATAGAGACCCAGAAACGCAGTAAAATTCAACCATAGTGGTCACGAAGATGAAAAGAAGTGGACATCCATCGTCACTATGTAGCAGCATAATTTTATTTTTTTTAATTTGTTGACTGTATTGAACTGAAAGTGTGTAGCAGCATAAATTTCTCATACCCAACTAACATAACTGATTCACAAAAGTCAGTGCATATCCATCATTATGAACAAAACATGCAGTATTTGGTAGCAACTAAGGGTTTTCCATCATTCTATCTATTCTCAGATGCTAAGGGCCACAATACATATACCTTCAATCTAAGCCTTTCCTTTTCCTCTTCACTTAAGCTCGATCCATTGTCCTCCTGGCTTCTAACTTCTGCGACCCACTTTATGAATTCCAAAGCATCAGCAGGCATAGAGCTTAAAATGACAGAGATAGCTTTCTGCAAGCTATTACTATCTTCACTTTTCAGGAGGAGAGGGACTTCATCAATCAGATACTTGGCTGTGGTCACCCAGGCCTCAGTCTTACAGCTCTGCAAAAAATATCAAAGGGAGATAATTTAACTTGTTTCACTGATTCTGAAGGACAACGAATAGCAAATATTCACATCAAAGTACAAAAATCATATTTCAACAACAGCCATCCTCTCCCTCCCTCCCTCGGTCCCTCCCTATATGAACGTGAAAATGTCAAATGGAACCTTGATCAGAAAAAAACAACCCACATAAGTCATTTATAGATTTGGTATAAGTTATTTCATCAGGATCACTTTAAAGGATCAAATGCAATTTCCTTTTTGCATCTAATCATATCAAACAATGTTAGAAAACTCGGAGTCGGCATCCACTTGGACTTACCTGAATCACTAGCACATTGAGTGGTTCCATAAAAAGGAAGAAAGCAAAACAAGGTTTCATTATTGTAATCTAGTTTTTAAGTTTTTTACAAACAGTCCTTTTTCATCATTTTTGGAGAACATAATTATTATGTTCTCATGCACATGTACACATGCATACATATCTTAAGATATTATTTCTTTCATGTTATGAGGATGGGCATGGTCCCAAGTTTTGTGGGGTCACCACTATGTCTGCAAATACACACAGCATATATCTAGGCATCTCTAGTAACCCTGTACAAGAAATAGGTGTGCCATCTCACATGCATTTCTTATATTTTACTCTTGTATTTCTTTTCCCAGTCAATAGAATTTATCTCAAAGGTCTTAGCACACATATTGACATAGTCCTATAACCATATAGATACAACATATCTTATGCTTTTTTGCTGCTCAGATATGTCAATCTATACGAGTTCATGTGACACAAATGCCAGACAGACTGAAATGAAGGCAACCTTAGTGCCTTTTTTACCCTTGCTCGTGTACAAATTTTGACATGGTGTTCCAAAGAAGGCTTAAGCAGGGATTTTAACCAAGAACAGAGACAAGCCGCATCATCCAAAACATTTGTTGCCCAATCAGTCTAGAGTCTAGTCTCTAGACGACTAACCTTCTAAGATACACTACAAATGTTTTGTGAATCAAGACCAGGTGTTGCATAATAATATAGGCACAAACCTTCTAGGGACTACAAAGTATCATGTATCCTTGGAGGATAAGGCATTAGAAATTCCCGGTACCCTCCAAAATTCAGCTCAGTCACATTGAGGTGATTCTATGAGGAGTCATCCCCAGATGTCCAGGAATCAAGATAGTAGCCTAAGAGATCATGTAATGATAATGACATTGTTTGGGGGTGTTTTCTCTCAAATAAAATATCACCCGACTCAAGCAGTGGCAATGTCTAGCCAAATAAATTCTCGACACAATAATTGCCAAAATACCGGAGGAACCACTGGAAAGGGCTAAAGTGGGTTTAAAAAAAAAAGAGTCTCATAATAAATAAACAGATGAAAGATCCCCTTAACATGATGAAAGGAAGCTCCTGCCAAAAAACGAGAAAGATATGAGCCCAATTATGCCCAAATCAGTAATTAGAAGCTCCAAAATGAGGCACAGATCACAATAGATCAAAATTATATCCGTTTGTTAGATTTTTAGTCCAAGATTGCATGAAGCCACTTTCTGAAATTCCAATGAATCCGACGTCGATTGATCAAGATATAGCGTGACAAAGCTCAACCGTCCACTTCACAACAACGATCCAAGGCCAATTTACAGAGACTCCTTGAAATATAAAAGGCGGCCCAAGAACTATATAAATTAAGGGTATTGATATAACAAGGCTACAGTCCAAAATTGAGTCCAATTTGATATCAGATGAAAGAAATACAGCCTCTCGAACACCTTAAACCATAGGCAGGGTCCACCTAAATCCCCAACTTTACAGAAGGACCCTAAGAAATAAGCAGCTAATGAACTTCAAGTTTTTATTAATGAACTTCAAGTTTTTATAAGAAGAAAGTGATGATGAGAGAAGCCTGTGGTGAAAATTTCATCCAAACCTGGTGTCCAGAGGTGCCATTTTAGGCATCATCTTTGGCGCACCACAGGGCAACCACAAAAAAAAAGAAAAGAAAATGGAACATACTATGGACATAGTCCATCATCTTCATGAGAATTACAGCAACCAATGAAATTTTGGCAAAACTCCAGGGACCATATGTCCCAATTCCTGCAGCCAAACGATCCCAAATTTTAGTACGTTACTCCTTGCTACATGGATTTTTCATCCATATATGGATCAATGGGGCTCTCCACTCTTATCGAGATTGAATCAAGCCAAAAATTTTGAAGTTTGCAACAAGTAAATGTGTATCAGTCTCCGTGACCTCCGCTCACTCTCGGAGCAATTTCTTGCGATCGCGTGGCGGTTCAGCTCGAATTTTGCAGGGAACTTCCCAACTCAAAGACACATGCATCTATACACAGCAACCACGATCAAAAGCATAAATGGGGGTTAAACTCTAGAGAGGAGTTGCTTAAAGATTTGGCATCACAGTTTCCAAAAATGACAAGAAATAAAGCGGCCATGACTCGGTCGAACGACAATCTCTTAAGCCAAAAATCGCACCAAACGATGATCTCAAAGCCCTTCACATGAATTTGGGGGCTGAATCAAACAAGGGTAGATTGAAGAGTCATGGAAGAAGCATGGAAAATATTGGTTAAATGGAAAGTCAAGATTAAAATGGGGCAAAACTCACAAACGTAGCACCGTTTTCGCTCAAATTTGTTATAAAACGATCGTGGTACATTGCTCTACGATTTTCTAGAAGAAATTTGGTCGAAAATCGTCAAAAAAACCTAATCAAAGGTTTTTGGTGGTGGATGGTGGGAGAAGTTTATTCAAGGCAAGAATATGCTTCAATTTTAGGGGTTAAAAAAATTTACTTAGCCATTTCCTTTAGAACCATTTTCCTTTAGAGAGAGAAACCCTCCACACTCTAATCTAGAGTGAGAAATTTGACCTATACCCAAATTACCCCTCCTTAAAATCTAAAATGCCAAAAATCCCCCTAAATTTAGAAAATTCCCAAAATTCTGTTAAAATCTAGGACACCCAAATTAACCAGTTTACCCCTAGAAAATCCCAAAATTCACCGATAACCGAAGGAAGGTCGACCGGGGTTGGGTTTCCCTGCTCTAATCATAGTTCTTCTGGGTTCCGCATCCAAGCACACTTTAACATTGTTAAGTACTATGACCAGATATACCAGGGCATGGACCAAGAGTAGCGGGCCTCCCTCGGACCCCACCTTGCTCATTTCGGATCATCTGGGATTCCGCATCCAGGCACGTTTAACAGTTTTGAGTCCTCGGATCAGATCTAGCAATTGACTAATATAGAGTGGGTAGGCCTCCACCTCGGGTATCTCGAATTGGATCGGCTCCCCCCTCCAAGATCAAGGGGGTTACTAGGAACCTAAAACTTCTAAAAATCCAAGAGAAAACTCGGACTTCCGACTTCGGAACCGGAAAGTGCTTGTGCTAATCGTCAAGAACTCAGAGGGTACACGAGCCTCTTGTGAGCGGTCGGCTTTTTCAGTCGTTCGAGGTTTCGCCTCATTACTGATAGCTTGGCCAAGTCTTGGTGAGAGGGCTTCCCCGGCACCAAACGCCGGTGGTCCGGGTTTTGCAGATCCAAGGTTGAACATCCCCACCCCTTTGTATTTGCTTGTTATATAGCAATAAAGTTGTCGGTTTCCGTTGTGCGCCTTTGGTTTGCATTCACTTTATTCTGGATAAACTCAAGTCACAAGGGCACACACACACGCGATCCAAACCGTGTAGTTCTATTAGATCTTAGAATCACTTCCAAATATGAGTTTTTATCTATATAACAAATATTGTCCTTGTTTATATAACAACAATGTCCATGTCATATGGAACAAGGGTTGACAAAAGTTCATCAAGATAACATCAAGAAAACAAGTGCACCACATTTGATTGTATATAAGAGCATCGTATATAAGAGCAACAGAAATATATAATTAAAAATAAATAAAAGAAGAAGAAAAATAAGTTTACTTCATAAAATTGTTACCAGTGTATAGAGAAGAGAAGGAGCTCTCTGAAGCTTGGAAACAAGCATAAACCTGAAAGCAAACAAGCTTATGTCAATAGCCAAACACAACTATTACCATAGACCCCATTAACTCTATTTTTGTACCATAAAACCAGCTTAGTTGAAAAAGCAACATCCAATGTGAAAACTCTCAGATATCGTACCCTCTATGATGTCCAGTTGCTTCATCAATAGAATTCATGGCCTCCCAAAGTAGTGGAAGCGGAACCCAGTGAGGTGGATATTTGAAACGGGCAACATCCAAGATGAGTACCATGTCTTTTCCAGCATGGTAGCCACCAATAGGAGAAAAATGGCCTGTTCCTGTCTGTAACAAAATGATAGCATACAAGGTTTGGCATAAGTAGTAAAATATTTAGAGGTGAAGAGGCATAGAGTGTGCTATAGGAATAAGCTCAGGATATTATTATTTAAATAGATTATTGAATACATGATTGAAGAGCTATTTGCTATCAAGAAGTACGATAGTCACAAGTTAGGTCTCTATAAAGTTGTAGATAGTAATATAGCTCCACATTCACAAAATGAGTAAATAGTATTTAATCAAATGATGGGCCATCCATTTAAAACCCAAAGTTTTGTACTCAAGAAATCAATTGTAGAATATTCAATTTGCTAAGGACATTACTCATGTAATAACATATATAACTATCAATGTTGATCATTGCGTAATTGAGTGCTTCATTCAACAGAAACTACTTGTTAGGAGGTGCGAGTTAGTTCAAACGGAAGGCCTAAAAAGGGAAAGGGGTAGGCCCAAAAGGACATGATTGGAAATAGTGAGAAAAGATATGGGACTTATGGCCCCCTTGATAGAGCATAATGACGGACTAGGATTCGTGTAGCCCATGCCAAATAGTTGGGAAAAGGCTCTGATGATGATGATGATTCAACAAAAAATACCTAATCTTAAACATGATTTTAAAGAACATAGAGTCTATCCAATAAATTCATGGCTATTGAATATCTTCTACAAACTAATCTTCTCAAGTTAATCACATTCATAGTGCACACATACAATGAGATAATAAATGGCAATCTGCTATACTACCTCTCCAATTTTAAGGTAGTTAATCACATTTTGGAATTTTCTTGGCCATTTTTTATAAAATTGTTTGGAAATTGTACAAGTATACGGGATGAGATAAATTGATCTCCTTTTATTTTCTCCAAAATTATTGCATCAAATATTGTCCTTGGATGTTGGGTTTCTTTAGATCCATTTGTCAGGGATGGCAAGTTTGATTTTGAGGTATTAGATTTGTTGTAGTGGGGGACTCATCCCAACAACGGGTAATCGAGTGAGTATCATTTCCAAGCAATGTTCAAAAAGGCGGAGGCGGCTGGGTGCGCAGGCACCCAAAAACCTAGACGGCCTTAAGGGAAGGGGCTCGGGGTGGGGGCCATATGTTGTTTTGTGTGTTCGTATTTTGTGAATGTGTGTATGTGTTTAGTGTGTGTGTGTGTGTGTGTGTGTGCATGCACATGTGTGTGTGCATGCACATGTGTGTGTGTATGGACATGTGTGTGTGCATGTGAGGTCTCGCATGAAATTCTTAGAGATCATCCTCCTTTTTTCTTTCTTTTCTTTCTTTTGGACCTGTATTTGTGAGAGAGAGGTCTCGAACATTTGGAGGATATGGAGAGAGAGAGAGAGTCTGTGAGAGGGAGTCTGTGAGAGGGAAGGGCCTCGCATCGAACATTTGGAGGTCATCTGCTTCTTGTTTTTTCTTCTTACATGTAAAGAGGGAACATATGGGTCCATGGGTATCTCTGTGAGTGTATGAGTGTGAGAGAGGCCACACATCGAACACTTGGAGCCCATCTTCTTCTTCTTCTCATATGTAGAGAGAGCATATGGACCCGAGAGATAGAGAGAGAGAAGGGCGGCAAAACTAGGCCTTATTTTTGTTTAGGTGGATTTGATTTTCTTTTTTTTTTTTTAAGGGAAGGTACTAGGTGAGGGCCTAGACTGCCTTGAGCCCTCCTAGGCACTCAGCACTCACCTTGACCGCCTAGGCACCCGCCTTAGGCATGCCCGCCCAGACCCCATCACCTATGCAGTTTGTCGGGCTGCCTATGCAGCTGGGCGGCTGACTTTTTTTTCACTAGTTCCAAGCACAAACTTCAACACCATCTGTAATTCCAAGTAAGCGGACTACTACCAACTTGCTAGATGAGGACTTCAGCATGTAGTGCAAAGTTATGGACCATAAGGAGTTAAAGTTCCCCTCATGTGATTAGATTCAAATGAAAGAGCAACTTATTCCTCAACACTGCTCAAGAACTTGTGCAAAGAAGGCGTTCCAACTACCAAGATTTGAAAGACCCTGATTTCCTAATCATTGAGAACTTGCAAACCCCAATATTAAAAAGTAATGAAGGTAACACCCAAACAAAACTTATAATACTCATGAATTAGGAAACATGCTCATGAAAAAAAGAGAAAATTCCAACTAACCTGACTAAAAGGTCGTCTATGATATGACGTGATAACATGACAATTTTCTAAAGAAGCACATCTAATGACATGCTTGCGGAAATCATCAATTGAGCATTGGTTTGCACGAAAAGTTTCAACTTGAGCACCAGCACAATAAGCTAAGCATGCAAGTTTTCCAAAGGTTATGCCTTCAGCTTTAACTTTTTCAAGACGTTCACAACAATCCAGCATAGATTCATCAAACCATCGCCAAGGACCTGAATGACAAATCCATAATGTAAACTGTTGTAGCCACCGTAAATATAAACAGAATTGCACATATGTTTGCAAAAATAGAACTGAATGTATTAACCTTGATAGAAACCCTCTAAAGACATTAACAACTCAATCAACGAACTAAATCTTAAAATAAAACAAAAATGTTACAGCCACCAAT